ATTCAACACAAACAAGATAAGATTATTACTAAAAATGTACTATGTAATTTTGACTCGTTCATACTACAGTGATCACACCAGATCCCATCAGAACTCTGAAGTTAAGCACTGTTAGGCTTAGTCTAGTACTGAGGTGGGAGGCCGTTCGGGAACCCTGAGTGACGAGTTATTTTTTTAAAAAAAATAAACAAAAAATTTATTAAAAATTATATATTAAAATATGAATATGATTTTTTTTTATTTTTTTAAAACAAATTTGTAACATTATTGTGTATAATTATATATACATACATAAAACAATACTAATGTACAGCTACCTTTTTTTTTTTTTTTTTTTAATACTTAGCAATGATTATTTTTATAAAAAATATAAATGTTTAATTATTGTATTTTAATTTACGTTAATATAACACGTATGTTTACTTTTACATGTGTTATTTAACAGAATTATAAACATTTAAAATGTTTTATTATAAAAGAAAAAAAGTTATTGTTCCATTTTAAAAAAACAATTATAGTGTTTTTTTTTACGTATAATAGTAAATGTTGCTTTTTTAACAGATTAAATGGAAAAAAGGAATAGCAGAAAAAAATAAAATAATTGTAACGTTTTTTATTATTGAGTTTGGTTTATTAACTTTTAGTTATAAATGTATTTTTTCATATAACATATGTATGTAAACCGTTAGTATATATATATATATATATATATGGTGAAATATTAATGAACTCAACAAAAAAAAAAGTTCAATTTGTTAGCAAAAAAAAAAAAAAAAATTAAAAATAAATTACAATTTATTAAATGAAATAATTTCAGCTGATTGAACAAGTCCCTCAATATCATCTTCTATATCGTCATCATCTTCCATTTGTTTTCGTAACTCTTTTTTCTTTTTACGTTGTTCTTCATTTAGTCCTATATTTTCTATAGATTCGATGAGTTCATCTGTATTAATTAGATCGTCAATGATGACACATGAAACCTGAGAAAAAAAAGAAAAAAATAAATAAATAAAATAAAAAAATAAAAATATGTATAAAATGAAGAAACAAACGTACGTATATCATTACATAGATTTAAGTGTTGAAACATGTAAACATGTTTTAACAATATTCTAAAGAGAAGACAAATAAATAATTATTTTTACCTGTAATTTAAAAAGGCCAAAAGCAAAAGGCATTTTTTTGTGAGCTTTACCCCATGTTAATCCTTCCATCTCAATTTTTTTCAAAAGTTTTAATACTTCATCTAAGTCTGTTTCTTCTCCATATGGTTTTATATCAATAATTAAAGAAGATCTGTCATAAATTAAAAGAAAAAATATATATTATAACCTAATGTACTATAATAAAAATAAGTTATAGTTATACGTTTTTATAACTGTAAGAATATGCTAAAGAAGTTTATAAGCTTGTTAATTTGTCATATTTAACTTTTATTTTTTTATAAGCCTTTTGGCTAATTTATTATATGTTTTTCTTTTTTTCTTCTTTATTGCTATTACTTATTTATAACAGGCTTCTTTTCTTTTTTAGTGGCTTTAGCATTTCCAATATCTGTTGCATTCTCCTCATTATGTAGAATATAATAGCTTAATGGTACATATAATTCATCGTAAGTATTTGCCATTTTTTTTTTTTTTTTTCCTTTTTTTTGTTTTTTTTTAAAATATATGTTATTATTTGTTAAATTTTAATTCAACTGTAGCCTTAAATATGAAATAACAGTTAATACACGTAAAGCAATAATTTTTACTCTGATTTGTATAAATTATATATATATATATATATATATATATATATTATATTTTAATAGTACTTATATGTATCTAACAAAAAAGGAATGACTTACGTTGAGTAATGTAAAAATGATAAAGTTATAATTTGTAAAATAGTTTTTTATGCTTATATATTTTTTAATATTTTTATCAGGTTCATTTGATATATTTTATTTTTTTTTTTTTTACTACATGATCATCCGTCAATGTACGAGATATCAGTTGTTTTTAAATTGCCGGATTAGTTTTTTTTTTTTTTTTTTTTTTTTTTTTTTTTTTTTTTTTTTTTTTTTAAATATACAATTTCATTTTGTTGTATTTTGCTTTTTTAAAATTTATATTTATTTATGTCACTATTGTATTTTTTAAAAAAAAAATGTGAACACTTTTTAAATAACCCAATTTCTCAAAAATAAGAAATCGTTTAAAAAATCGACATAAAAAAGCACAAAAAGAAAAGAAGAAAATAAATATAATAAAAAATAAAATAAGATAAAAAATATAATCGTTAAATTATTAAAAGTGATATCGAAAACAGGTTTTAAAAGGAAATGGTAATTAATGTATGACAAAAAAAAATCATTAAATAAATAAATGTAATGTAAAATAAAAGAGGATAAAAAATATAATTGATAAATTATTAAAAGTGGTATAAAAAAAAGGTTTTAAAAAGAAAAGGTAATAAATGTGTTACAAAAAAAAATAAAATAAAAAAAGAATAAAAAACTATACTTAAAACAACCTAAATAAAACAAATTTGTGAGTAGAAGACGTCAAATACATTATACTTATCTGCTAACAATTTTATTCATATTGTTCTCAAATAAGAGCACGAAAAAAAAAAAAAAAAAAATATATAGATAGATAGATTGATAAAAAAATAGTAGCTCTCTGTGCTATTAAAAATTAACAAATATAACAATTGTGTATACATATGTATACATATACATAATATATATATATATATATATGAAATATTTTTCTAGTTTTTTGGGAAAATGAAAAATTAAACAAATTCTGATAAACACATTGTGCATATGCACATACAAAAAAGGAAGAATATATATACATTCACCATTCGTTTATTCGTCTTCTCTTTTTTTTACTTTTTTGTTTTTTTTGTAATAATCTTTATCTTTTTCTCTTTTTGAAGGTTTTACATCATCATCATTTCTTTTTTTCTTATGTTCGTGTGTTTTATATGTTTCATTTTTATTTTTGTGCGTTTTGGTTTTGTTTTTGTTTTTGTTTTTGTTTTCATCTGATGAATATTTACCACGATCGTTCATTTTATTCTTATCATAAGAACGTTTTTCTATTTTAGACTTTTCCATATTCAAGTTATATAATTTGTTTTCTTTAATTATTTCCTTTTTATCATCATCTAGGTATTTATTTTTTTTTTTTTCAAAAGTTTTTGTTAAGTTTTTCTCGCTTTCAGTTACATCGTATACACCTATACCTAGTCCTTCAGCACCTGTTGGTTTATAATCAACTGAGCCCTAAAAAAAAAAAAAAACGATAAAAAAAAAGATAAAAAAAAAAGATAAAAAAATAGATTAAAAAAAGATAAAAAAATAGATTAAAAAAAGATAAAAAAAAAGATAAAAAAAAAGATAAAAAAAAGATAAAAAAAAAAGATAAAAAAAAAGATAAAAAAAAAAAATAAAAATAAATAATAATAATAAATATATATGTAAGTAAAAGCATTACATCCTCTTTAACACATTTTTTGGGGCATTTATAATTTAACACATGATCAACTAATAATGGCCTGTTTAAAAGCTTAAATCCATTGAAATTATCTACAGCTAATATGGTGCTTCTTTGGTCTTCATATGCCAAAAAACAAAATCCTTTTGATTGACCTGTTACAATTATATTTTTTTTTAAAAAAAAGACATGTATTTTATAATAACACTACCATAAGACATATATCTATATATATATATATATATTCGATATTTCGATTAAATATGTTTTAAAATACCCGTTTCCTTATCTCTCACTAAATTAATGTCTACGGGTTCACCGTACTGTGAAAAGATTATGGCGATATCATCCTCAGTTAGACCTTTATCTAAATTACCTAAACATAGCAACAGATATGAATACGTGTATGGGGATGTACATACGTACAAACATACGTATATATATATATATATATATATACGTGTTAAACGTGACTATATATTTTGTTTAGTACCTATGTAAATATAACTGGAATTCATATAATGGTCATGCCATGAACTTTCGTTGTTACCAATGTTCTTTAACTCAAATTCATTTAATTTTTCAATACTCTTAATTTGATTAAACACCCCCATTTTTTTTTTTTTTTTTTTTTTGGTGGTTTTAAAGACATATATACACTAACACATAGATAGAATAATACTATGTTCAGACAGGGTTAACAAAATTAATAACTAGTTTTTCTATTTTTTTTTAAATATAATACTTGCCAGTGCATAAACACTTCATTTTTCTTTATATATGTGTTCATATTTATGTTCTTTATTTTACACATAACTTTTACAACGTAATTTTTTTTATAAACAGTTTATTTTATGATACAGTCATTAATATAAGTTTATATATATATATATATATATATATATATATTTTGTTTTATGTTTTATCACTGATTTAACACACACAAAATTAAACATATATATATGAGTGTACTATAATTAGTAACATTTCAAAATATTTGATAATATTTTTTATAATATTAAGTATATATTTATTGATTTATAGTCTACGTGAATTTGTGATATTCTAGCTGTGTCATATACACATGAATACATTTATATATATATATATATATATATATATAACAATTACAATAATTTATCTTTTTTTCTTTTTTTTTTTTTTAAATTATTTTTCTATAAAATGTCTATTAATATATGTAGTGCCTTTTTATGCTTTTCAGTAATATTAATAATTTCCACTATTGCATATTTTATATATGTTTATTTACATAATAATTAATGAGTTATATTTGGAGATTGTGTTGTTTTTTTTTTTTTTTTTTTTTTTTTTTTTTTTTTTTTTTTTTTTTTTTTTTTTTTTTTTTTTT